GAAAAAATTATAAATAACTATGCGATAATTTAAAATATTAACTACACGTCGTGTTGTATTTTTCAATCATAAATTCAAAGTACGCTTCTAAGTTTAGATTTTTCTAATTTGATATGAATATGTTGGTTTTTTTCAAATTTAATTTTAAATTTATTTTATTCCCTATGGTATGCACATCAACTAACTAATCAATGTATAAATTTTACTAAAAAAAAAATTCACAATTGTTAAATAATCTTTGCTTAATGAAATTTGTATCATCTAATATATATATATATATATATATATATATATTAGATGAAGAGCATCTGGGTGATACGTATAGCAATATTTTTGTGCTTTTGATATTATACTGTTTTAGGCCATGTATGTATATATATATATATATATATACCTAACTTTTCCCTAGGATTTCCACTATAATTCTAATCATGGAAACTACTACTTTGATAGATTTCTCGTGCTTTTAGTACCCTACCAATTGACATCAGCTTATCTAGTGAGGCAAATACCTAATTTTTTTTTTAATATATACTTTTGATTATATAATTATATACATTATATTTAATGACATCATGTATATTTTATAAACAAATGATTTGTACATCTCAACCAAAAACAAATCTAAAAAAATATGATATCACGTATAAATAAACTTAATTTATTATGATTTATAATTTTTTTTATACGTCATATTTGATATGATTTAGACTTCAGACATTAAATCAAACCCCCAAATCAACAATATTTTTATTAATTTGTTTTTATTTACGAGCAGTAATATTAAATTATTAATTATAATATTATTTTTAATATATATATGAACATCAGAAGTTCATCACCACAGGGAGGTCGTCCCCATGTCCATGTGAAATCGGTGGGAGTGTGGTGATGTCTTGCTTATCATCCGTACTTTTTTTTTTAATATTTTCTACTTTTCAATTTATTTTTTAAATTATATATATTGTATAATTATATTTATTTTATAAATAAATAAATAGGGAACAGAATGGGCCACTATGTTGCTTCCTTTTATTGGTGCTTGCATAAATATATCTTATTATAATCTTACTTGGGTTATTAATTTAATTTTTTACCATGATCAAGTTAGAGTTTTTTTTTTTTTTTTACTATTTTAATTATATTATTTAATTAAAAAATTACATGATTTTTATTTAATTTTTGTTCAACGAATATTTAATTTTTTAATTAATTATATATTTTTTAAATTATAAAAATATATATATAACATAAAAAAGGTGGTAGTTAAATAGTTTGATACGATATCTCAACCGATTGCTCGGTGGGTTGATAGGTTGTGGTGGATATTTTTTGGCATTATTTATTGAGGTGAAATTTTTATTTTATCTAAGTTTATAAATAATTAAATTTGATTTTTCTTTAAAAAATTTGGAAATTGGGTTTTTTTTTTATTATATTAGTTTAGTGTATTTAATATTTTATTTTTAAAATAATAATTATGTAATCAAATTAAAATTGTAAAATTTAAGGGGATACCCATTTTAAACACATTTTCTACCAATTTTTAGAAAATTAATAGAAGAAAATAATTGTGATTCTATATAATAATAATAAAAAAAAAACCATATATTATGAGACAATATATAATAAAGAACTAATAAAATTAACAAAGAAAGCAAGCCTCAATTTACTACCGTTGAAGTGGAGTGGAAATATAATCCTACGGAGCGCCCAGAACAAAAATGGCGTGGCGGTGGCTGGGGACGTCCGGCGGGGAAAACTTATCTCTCCATCCAGCAAGGAGTTCCCACACGTCTTCAGAACAATTATTAAACTAAAATTCATTTGTTATTTCTTTTTTTTAAATAAAAATAAAAATAAATTAAATGTCATGTTCATGTCACGTGACATCTAACAAAATAATAAATATTTTTTTTTATGAATTATTTTAAATTAATTAATAATTTTAAAAAATATATAACTATAGATATCACAAGATTTTAACTTATATCCTTATCATGTCTTCTTATTTTCTTATAATATTCATATCTTCTAATGATCAATATAATTTTAGCATGTGTTCTTTCAAATTTTTCATAACTCTATCTCTTATTTTAAATTTAAATATATCAGTATAGTCGATAGATCATGAAATTTAGATTATTGTCACGAATAACGGTACACATTTCACTCTCACATCGTACTCACTTAATTCGGCATCAAATGTCCAAGTCAGACCCGTAATCTCATTCTTTGTCACCGTATAAGTAAGAGTTCTAAACCCTGCAATGGTTGTCGAAATGCTTATGGTGAACAGGATACAATATATCTACTATTTCATCATCTCCCCATAAATATGTTTGGCTCCCAATAAATAATCTCATGGTATTGATTTTTAAAAAGTATTTTAAATCTACCTTCGAAGCGTCAAAAATGTTATTGGAAAGCAATCTATAATTTAGGCATTGTTGACCATAATGTCGAGCTTTTCGTGCTCGATGACAACTACGTTCACCAAGTTTCAAACGTTATATTTGCCAGAGATGTTATAGTAAATGTAAAATATTTTGTATTTAAATTTGGCCTAGTTGAACTTGAATATCGACAATTACAACTATAACGTTATTTTCATTGAACAACTCTATTATAATTGATTTAATACGAATTAGTTATGGTGACAATGTTAAAAATTATTAACCGTCGTAAGAAATTAAATTAAAAATATTAAAAGTTGCAAAAACTAAGAAAAAAAAAATTGAACAAAAAAAAAACAAATAATATAATAACTAATTATATATTTTAGACAAAATATAATAAAATAGAAAAGTCATTTTCTTTTTTTTTTTTTTTTAAGAAATTGGTTGAGTAAAATTATAAAGTTTAAAACATAGAGTGGTGGATTGAAGTTGAAAAAGAGAACAAGGAACAGAGTACAAAATGGCAGTCATGATGTGTTTTTGAGAGGATCTGCCAGCCATCACCAATAAAAAACAAAAAAGCTGCACATTTAAAATCCCACTTCTCAATTGCACTACCAAACAATATATTATTCTAATTTTGTAAAAAAAAAATTAAGGATAATATTATATACACATATATAATTTAAAACGTATATATATATATATTTTTTATAAATTAGTGTTGCAATATAAAAACAAACAGTATACTACTCCATGTAACTTGTTTGGTATTTAACCCTTTAAAATAAATTTCAGGAATAAAATAAAATTTAATTGATCTGATTATAACCTTAAGAAATATATTAAATTTCAAACCCACTAATTGTTAGTTCATGCATTGCATATATACATACAATGATTACTATATCTACATTTTGTATAATCACTTTCACATCCTTTAAGCTTCATTATCACACCATTCTATGAATCTTTTACCATCACATAACCTAATCTTTAGTATAATTGATGATTATTAGTAGTTATATATATATATATATTTACTTTTATAAAGCATATGTTTCTCAAACCCTAGAGAACTACTATATAAATGGGCTTATTTATGTTTTAATTAATTATATATGGAATATTCATTAATTAAGTTATATATATATATATAATACCAATCACATAATATAAATAACTTTTAAATAATAATATATGTGAGAGTGTAATTTAATTTGAATTTTTGTAACGAAATTAACATATTAATTATTAAATTAAATAGTTTTTTTATTTTTTAAATGAGTGACAGGAGGTGAAAATGTAATATAAAATTTCATGATGACAAAGATATTTAGGTATTCCTATAATTTTATTATCTTAACTTGTCACGTTTACATTATATATATATATATATATATGTATGTATATATGTACATATTTTTGTATTTATTTATATAAATATTTTTGAATTAATTTGTTGGATTAGGTACAAAACAAGACACTCGTGTTATTTCGAGAAAGACAAATGAGAATCTGAGATTTATTATTTCATATTATAATATTTCTTAAAGCCTTTTGTACGTACTGACATATTTTACAATATGGGTATTAAAATTTAAAGTTACAGACAATGGAAACAGTGAAATTAGGTCATGAACTCACGAAGATGATGAAGAATTGGAGGAAAGTGGAGTGGGGCATTTTCATGACGTCGAAGAATGTATATATATATATATATATATATTTCAATATCTCTTCATGTCATCACTGCTACTTTCACAACACTAATGATTTTTCTGTGTTCTTTTCTGCCCATTAATTCTTTAATATAATCAATTGGCTTCAACCTTCTTTTCTAAAAATTAGGTACATGTATAACCAGTATATGGCATGCATGATGTAATATATGTATATATATATATGTGTGTGTGTGTGTGTTGTCTTTATAACATGATTGGATTTTAATTTATGTAACATGGTTTTTGTTGATGGACAAATTTGTACATACATGAATTAGTTAGAAACAATGAATTTATTAAATATAAAATAAAATTTTACATGAAATTTAATCTGAATAATAATAATTTAAAATTTCATTATATTAAGAAATTGAAAGGCGAGATCAACTTCTGTAATTAATTATTTAACCTGCAAATTAAATTGTGGGTCAATAGTCAACAAGTCAACACATATGACTCCACTGCCGCACCACTGGGGTCAAGTGGCTCGTGTCATGAGTAAATATGGAATTCTATTTGAAGTGTTTGAAGGGTTGATTTAAAAATTAAATATATTTGGGTTGCAATAATAACCCATCATTATCACAGTTAATCTGCTTGATTTATACACTAATCCTGCGGTAGAAAATACAAAAATAAAAAAGAAAATCACATGCGCAACCAAACAATCTCCATGTAATTTGGTTCAACATGGAAGAAGCAAATTAAAATTTGATATAATTCGCAGTAATCATTTTCATTAATGAGTTAGCAGACTGTAAGTATAAATGGTGTAAATTAAGTTTTAATTTACAGGTTATTAATTTACCCAAGTTAATTATTAAGCTTACTCGAAGAAAAACAAACAGTGAGTAAATTAAGGGAAGGAGAAGAAGCATTTACAAGAGCTTGGATCAATAACTCTCTGGTGAAAAGTTCTTACCAAAAATATTTTGGCTTACAATAAACGACAACCCAACTAAGAACAAAACGCAGAAAAGAATACAAGTAATTCTTCGCAAAAAAGGAAAAATACCCTATAAACAATAAATCGATCTGCACTAGTAATCATGTTGAACTAAATATTTTCCTTCTTAATTAATTCCTGATATAATATATTATTATTATATAGATTATATACAAGGAATGGTTAAGTGAGTAATCGACGCCGGCTAATATAAAGGCACCGGCAGACGTGGCGGCTTAGGAGGCTTCTGGAGTTCCAGCACGATATTCTTATCTGCTCGAGGAGGCTCGCACGGACACGGCAATGCGATGAACTTAGGGATCTGATCACCTGGCATTAACACCGAGAAGCTCTGGCTTTCAATTTTCTTCAATTCCTAAATTTTGAATCCAAACAAAATTTCACCGAGTCAGACTCGAATTTCAGTTAAAGAAATTGACGAGTGGTAGTAACGAGAGTTAGATTTGCAGGAGGAGTGGAGAAGAGTGAGTTGAGCGGGGAGGTGACATACCGTAGGGGGCGGAATAGATTTGGAAGGCGAGGCCTCGAGATCGTCGCGGCCGGGATGATCGGGGTGGTTTCCGGAGAGAGATTGGCGGAGGGATCTAAGTTTCTCCCAGTGGTAGCAGCAGGAGAAGATGCCGCTGAGACTGAAGATGACGATCAAGAGTAACGCCGTTCCTAGCGGGAAACCAAGCGAGGGGCGAGATGCGTCGGCGTGGGGCGGCGACAACTCCGGACTCTCCATCGCATGCAACTCGGATCCTGATTATGCAACAGCTCCCACAACTCCTCCTTGTTCCTTGTCTCATGAGAGAAGAAGAAGAAGAAGAAGAAGAAGCAGAAGAAGAAGAAGAAGAGTGTAGAATGCGGAAATGTAAAACAGAGAGGGACTGATAAATAATGAAAGGGGGGCGAGTTGAGAAGAGAGGATTCGAGGATTTATAAAAAAAAATAAATAAATAAAAATAAATTTAAAATTTAAAAAACAATTAAATATTTTAAAAAAAGAAAACGCAGGGAGAGAGAAAGTGGAGATGGGTACGTGTAAAGGTACACGTTAAATGTCCGAATGTTCGGGCCATCGTACGGATTAAGGTGGGCTCCACCTGTTTAATTTTCAATTAAAAAATAAATTAAAATAAATTCTTTTTCTTTTTTCTCTCTAAATTTTCAAAATGTAAAATTTAGTCATTTAATTAATTTATTTATTTTTTTTAAAAAATAAATTATTAAGGGATTTGGGAAATTAACTAAAGCGAATAAATGAAGAAAAAAAAAACAAAAAAAAAAAAGAAAAGAATATTATTATTAATTTTATAAACCAGAAAAGAGAATAATGTTTTCTGGAGTAATTTGCGAAAATGGCCTTTAGCTGGCACCACCGCACTGCCTGCTTTAGTTTAATAAGTTTTATTTAAATTGCTATTTAATTCTTATTAGTTACTAACAAATTTATATTTATTAAAAATATAATTGGATTAAAATTTTTAATTTATTATAAAAAATTTTGACGTAAAAATATAAGCTTGGTGGATTGGGTAAATGGGAAATTGCTGCTCACTTTATCGACGGTACCAAACCTAATAGTTCGTACTCTTCTCTCCTGTCTTTCATTGGACAACTTTTATGTATCTATATATATATATATATATACATACATACATACACACACAATATTATATTACACGTATTGGTGGAATTTTGTTTTTGTCAAAATTTGCAACTGGCTTCCCAAATTAGATTATATACAATATATTTATACCCCAAGAAAGAAAAGAAAAAAAAAAAGAAAATGAGGGAATGAAATTTCACGACGGTGGGATTTGGGGGGAGAAGCAATTTTAGTGGGAGTACGAACAGTAGAAGGTTTGACTGGGAGAGAAATTTTTGGTTGAAGAAAAAAGGTTGTGAAGCCAAAATTGAGTCTCGTGGGGGATGAAATTGTCGCTCCAAGGAAACATATACATACATACATACATGTTGTTATAACTACTGTTTTTAGTCGTATTAACAGTACTCAGAACTGATGCTGCTGTCACCACCACTTTACATCAGCTCATTCAATACACATATATATGTTATGTATTATTTTAATTTATATACGTTTGAAGATCTTATTGGTTGTGCCGGTGTTAAGGGTTAAGAGATCCCATCTGGGTTTTTGGCCTTTTGAGACTCCTAAAAGACAGTACATGTATGTATGTGTGTGTATATATATATATGTAATATGTGTTGTAATCAGTATAAGAGTGAAGATTTTCACTTGTATTGTAATTATAAATTCATTTATACTGAAAATCATTGTTCAATAATTCAAGACAAACTAATCATTAGTGTTAATTTTACCACTTAATTTAATTAAAAACTTAAACTACTCTTATGAATTTCACAGTGAAAATTTAAAAATTACAAGATATCATTTATACCCAAAATCTCAAAAGAAATTTAAAAAAAAAAAATTAATTTCAATTCGGAAAATATATATATATATATATGTACAGGCGTTGACTATAACTGTATCTTACCAGTTACTACCAAACAAATTTGGGTTGTAGCGAGACTTAAACTGTGCAGCTTTAAAATCTTTATACAGAGGATTTGACGTGCGGAACACGAACTTCAAATGTATTAATTAATAAATAAATTAATAAACCGATTAACAAAGAAATCTCGGAGAAGAATTTCAAACGAAAAATCTCCATCCCTGTCACGTATATACATACATATATATATATATATGAATACTATCTTCATGATGTGGATACAGAATGGACCTTAATTTATCTGATGATATTGTTGAAACTACCAGCTGGCCAAACACCAAAAATTTTCTCGAGAAAATTGACAGATTTTCATTTGAGCATCTTAAACAGAAATGGAGGGGACGCCGCGCGGGGGGTGGGGGGGGACCTTAAAAGATTCATGGGTTTAATTACTGGGTCCTCTCAAACACGTCAGTTCGAGCTGTAAATTTAACAGGGCGTGATATAGCGTAGTGTGGTGTGGCTGGCTGCCATATCCCTTACGGAGGTCCCTCTCATATATACATATACGTATATATATGTATATCCAACCTTAATTTTCTTGGCTCTCACCAGTCTTTTTCCACCTTACCAGACGACCATTGTCCTTGCCTCCCTTTGGGAGTAATCTATACATATACACAACCTTTTAACTTCAATTTCCATGCCATTTTTAGTCTGTATATATGTATATGTATGTGTGTGTGTGTATGCATGCATGTTGGAGATGGTTTCCTTTGATCTTATCTGTTATTATTTATTATTTTACTATTTGTTCGAATTACACCAACGAATTTCATATTCCGGGACCATGAAAAGTGAAAGTAAAGGACAGAATATTGAAAGGATATTCTATTAGATATATATATACATATATATATATATAGATTTTTTTTGGTGGATGAAGTAGTCGCTTTATTTATCCAGTGTGATTTTTTTGACCATTAAATATTAATATCTTGTTTTTGTTTTTCTTCACCTCCCTGCACTTCCATATCCATCTCCGATTGAAATTTGCTCTTATTCATTTCATTTAGAAATTCAGTATGGCAAGCTTTATGGGTCTTATATCTTTCTTCGATATATACACACACACATATAGATTTATTTATTATCCACTTCGTGTTAACTGAGTCAGACCCACATGCCAGAATTATATATAGAGCTCCTTTTGTTCAATATATAGGATGTGAAATTAGCCGCCTTTCACATCATCCATCTATCATTCTAAATTCCTAGAATGAAGAATATTGGGTAACATGGGATTTGGACATTCAATTTATTTATTTTTTCAATAAAATTCTGAAAATGCTGTAATAAGATCAATTAATTCAACTGACTGACTTTGAATATATATATTTATATAATCAATAAATTTTCTTTGACCCAAATCCAAATTTCTTTCTGATTTTAACTGTCAAAATTTTATTTTTGAAAGATTGAACAGTAAAAATACAACATATTGCGAATGAAATGAATGCGCTGGCTACTTAACCAATCAAGCTTTCTCCAACTCCTTTGACTCCTATCAGCTACTGCATCTCTTTACGAAAATTCTGTGAGAACTTCATTAGGGTCTCCTGACCTCGAATATGTTATGTTTAATCTTTTTACTTTTGCATAACTTTGTTCTTTCTTTCTCATTATCCAAAGAAAATAAATTTTCAAGTGAACGGCACGGCTATTTTCACTACATCTATTTTTCAAAATTTAGCTTATAGATAATAATGACACTAATAATAAATGAGTTGTATTTTATTTATTTATTTTAAATTTTTTCTTTAATCGGAAAAAAAATAAAATTTAATATTAATTCCATAAAGAGAAATTTTTTTTTTTCCTCCAGCTTAGTGATCAAATTGCAAATTCCTTTTGCCTAATTGATTTGACTTTGGAATTTTTGGAAATTGGAATTTATAATTTGCAATTCCAAAATTTTGGAATAAAATTACAATTGGGTAGATTGTAGATTTGTTTTATTTGATTAAGTATAATTACAAATTAATTTTTTTGTTTTTTAATAATTAGTATTTTTCAAAGGTTTTATAAGAAACTCCATAAAGCTTTTATGAGAATTTAGAAATATAATATTTTAATAGAAAAATAATTCAGAATGTTATGATTTTTAACTACCAATTAATTACTTTTGAATTGCCAAAATAAAAAAAAAAAAAAATTGTACTAGAGAATTTAAACTCTAAAGGAAGAATTTTATATTTTATTCTCTTTCATATTATAAATCATAATCCGCTGTTTGGCTGATGCAAACGAAGTATGATATGGAAAATGGGGATTACGGGCCACTCGGTCCATCAATCCAAACAAGTCATATCTTAGGCCCACGTTTGGACAAAGTGTAAATGAGTTTAGCTGGGCTAGGCCAGAGTTCCCAATTGGGCTTAAACCCATTTTATATTGGGCCTCAGTTTATTTTTTTTTTCTCTTAAAAGGTTTTATGGAGTTTAAATAAAAAACAAGATATAATTATGGGGGAAAAAAAAAGGTATATATCAATTTCTTCATAATTATTTTATCCATTTTCATATATTGTTTTATCACTTAAAAAATCTGTTCGTAACGATTTATTTTATTTCTTAAAACAAATATATTCTTAAATTAAAAATATGTATATATTATATATATATATATATATATATATATATTTATTAAAGTTATCTTTTAACGCCGGGAAGTAGTTTCAGGGGGCGGGTGCATTAAAATCAAAAGAGAGCTTAAGAAAATGATACATGTACTTTGGCACACGTGAGTTATCAGATGCGGGCGTGCTAGCGTGGACCCCAACCTCCTAACCATTGACTTTGAACCACCTTAGACCCCTCTCAATCAGTCTCTCTCACTCACCACGTGCCTTTGATCCTATCGCCAATAATTTTTTACATTTATTTGCCACGTGTCAGAATCTCAGTGGGTGTAAACCTACTTCTCTTTATACCTGATTTACTCATTTTAATAATGTAAGTCAATTTATGATATCGTATTTGTACGGCGTTTTAAACATTAATTTCATTATGCTTTTATTTATTCTCACTCCTACCAAATCAATTATAATATTTTTATTTTTTATTTCTAATTCACATATTTTCAACAATAATTTCGTAATATTAATTCAAAAAAAAAATAATATTTTCATTACGATTTATTCATTAAATTAAAATAAAATTATATTAATCTAAACAACACCACTTATATTAGTTAGCCTAGTTATTTAGTTTTAATTTTCGTAAATAATATTACACTCAATTTAATTTTTAAAATTATATATTTGATTTATTTTAAATTAAATAAAATTAATGAGAAAAATATTATATTTGTCATAATAGCAAAATCAAAAATTTTAATTTAATTTAATAATTAAGGTAGAGGTACGAGTAAACTAAAGATTAATAGTGGGATTTAACCGGGGTTGGGTGTGTGGTTTAGTATAAAGTTTGATTAATTTAATTTAATTAGATTAATGCAATGTATAAAGTCACCGGCAAAAGCGGAGGTTATCCGGCACTGGGTCCCAGTGTCGTGGCGCAGCCCCGCAAAATCTGTGGACGCAAAGCAAAGTTCCAAACCTTAATTATTTTCCTAATTACTCTCTCTCTCTCTCTCTCACTTCATCCGTCCCTCATAATTCCATGCCAATAAATACTTTCCATTTCTGAGTCGACATAATTTATTATCAAATTTCAGAGTCAAAAGCAAGCAATTGAGTTTTTTAATTTTAAATAATTATAATATTAGTCTTATTTTTTTATTTATGATTATAAATAAAAATATTATATTTTTTATACTATTTTTACGACATTCAAATAAAATTAAAAATTACATTTTAAATCAAATTATGGTGAAATTTTAAAATTTTGAATTATAATATAACACTCTTATTTTATAATTAATTATTCGAATTAAGTCTTACCATTATATCATTTGAAAAAATAATTTATTTAAATTTATAGTGATAATTTTACTAAAAATAAATAAAATAATAATTGAACCAAAAAATAAAATAGATGTGTACTCGAATATTAATCTATATAAAGAATTGACACACTAATAATAATAATTTATGCCTAACTTTATTATTTGTGAAAATAAATCAAACCATTTATATATATATATATTGTCCGTCAATATTTTATATGACATGTTGATTCTTTTAATTTTTTTAATAATTAAATTTTACTAAAAATAAATAGTAGCAATTATTAAAAATTACCCGTGTAGTTTATATTATTTTAAAGAAATAGACAAACCGTCAATTAAAATTTAAGACAATTAATTAGAATATTTATAATTACTTAAAATATAGTGATATGCGGATGGAGTACACTCTTACACATGCTACAAATACATATATATGTATATAGTTTGTCAAATTCAATCTAATTTTTTAAATAGTTTAAAATATTATTAAAATTTATACATTAATTTCTGTAATTTTTTAAATACTTTTGATTTACTAATAAATATAAGAAAAATATAAAAAGAATAAATAAAGAGGAGAGAGGCGTGGGAGGACACAAAATCTTTAGGAAATGGAGGAGGAAATCGGGATGGTGACGTGGGGGTGATGATGGGCAGACGGCACGCACGCCTACAGAAACCCGCTGAGTATTGCTGCCCGCAAGCGTGGCGCTTCATCATCATCACGCTTCAGGCTCATGCACTGCCCTTTCCTACGTTTTCCCCCCTCCCCCGTAATTTTCCTTTTTATTTTCACTTTTCCCCCCTACCCGGTAACTATTTTTACTTTTCAGGCCCTTATTTAATGCTCACAGACGGAGCCAAATATAAATTCAAAAAAAAATATATGATAAAATTATAAGACCCTATTATTTATAACTGAAGTTTAATTGCTTTGAGGGTATGATCGATGAATACCAAAAGATTTGGGGCAATTATAAAAAAAGTAAAGAAATAAGTGGGGGACAAATTAATAATTTCTTAAAAGGGTATTTTAATTTATTAAGGATAAGAGAGAGAAAGAGGGATTGGATTGTCTCGGTCACCACCCGGCAAACGGACTTCAATTGCCGCTTTCTTGTCCCCCCAATCCCACTTCTTTCCCCTGTTTTCTTCTGTCCCCTTCCCTCATTTAATGCTTCGTTACGTGATTCTCCCCCTCTCCCCCCAAATTTTTTTCCCACTTTCCGATTTTATCCCTCTACATAAATTAATATTACATACACCGTTAATTAATTAATTAATTAATTAATACAATTATCGTATTTTATTTTCTTCATAAATTATAAATTTATTCTTCACTTTTATGAATTGTACGTGACAGTTTAAACCATTCCATACTGACAGTTTTGAATTGAAGTATTCAGTCTTTGAGCTTGAGTAATCAAGTGCATTTTTTCTAAGTAATTAGATAATAAAAAATTTAGTAGTCAATTTTAAAGCTTTAATAATTCAGTTTCTAGTTTAATCAATTGGGTTGACATTGAATTGAATATTATATATATACACACACTCATATCATATAATATATATATATATAATACACACACATACTCATGTAACACCATGATCATTGTTTGTCCATCATGTCAAAATAGTTGATGCTGTCATTTTCTTCTCATCTTTTTCAGACTTGGTTTTCCATACATATCATTTAAAAAAAAAACAATAAAACATAAAAAATGTTAATGTTAACCGATAATTAATTTATTTTCCCAAACAAAAAAATAATAATACTTTGTTGTGATTGCATAAATATTTATTGGGTGAGAATTATAATAAATTTTTATTATTTAAATACATTTTTATTTATACAATAATGCAAACATAATTAAAAAAACACACATAAAAGTCGAAGAAATTTTTAATATAATAAAAATGTAAGGAAATTTTAAATATAATTAAAATTTTATGTAAAAAGGGGACACGACACTTGATTCTATACCCATCTCCCAATTAAAATAACGGTCCATAGGAATTAATTTACTAAAATTTCTTAAAAATCTAAATTGATTTCCGATTATAATAAGTAATTATTTAAGATAATTTGAGTAAATTATTATTTAACAATTTAAGTAAATAAAATTTTGATTCTCTTCAAACCTTGAATAATAATATTCATAAATTTATTATTATTATTATTATTAATTTTATTTTTCTATAATAATCAATAGCATACTGAACAAATTGACTTATTTCAAATTTTATATATTAAAGTATAGTAAAAATTGTGTACATGTTTTACAATGTTGAATGATATAATACCTTAATGAATTAATGTAAATTATTTTTTTTTCTAAAAAAAACTAATTGAATATGACGTACCAATGTGACATAACATGTTTAAATAACATTTCCATAATGCCAACATTTAATAATAGATAATATGTTATCTTATTATATTCAATCCAAAAAAAACTTTATATTTAAAATCGTTGGTATAATTGTTTAAATTTAAGGGCATATTGGTCATTAAGCGGAGAAGGGTATTTTCGAGATTTTGTTTAAGAACCAGCCAGTGGCAAAGTACAAGTGTACAACGAGAAAGCGGGAAACCACAAACCATCTTTTACAAAGACATTTCCTCATAAACTATTCCACCTGTAATAACGACAGATTTTGATTTATCTACGATTCCTCCATCGCGATCGAACGGTCCAGATTCTCCAATACTTCAATCAATCTCAGCCGTCGGATCAGATTCCTCCTCCTAGATCGGCGCACTAATAAAAACGAACCGGTCCAAAAGGATATTAAAAAGAAAAACCTGTTTGGGCCTAATTTCCTTTTTGCCCCTTTCCCTTTTTTGTTTAATTTTATTTTATTTTTCTCAGAGATAGCTTTTGTTGCTTTCTGCTTAATAGAAGGACATTGAGCTTTCTCTCTCTCTTTCTTGCCGTGCTTTTCTCTCGATACAGTTCGTGCTTTCCTCCTCTGAGACTTGAATGCGTTTATCGGTCTTCTTCAACCTTGTCTGATCCATAAATTGGCTTGTTTTGCTTTCGTTGTTCAGGTACCTGTGCTTTTTGAACGGTCTGTTTCAGCTCGTTTTTATCCTTTTTCTTTTGAAATGATTTACTGCGTTTTTCTTCGGTTGAGTTTTGTCTCGCTTGAAGTTCTTGTTTGCAGATATTGGGATCTTGTTCTTAAGTGATATATATCTTCTCTGCTTTGTGTTGTGGTCTTGTGGATTTTCTCTTCAAGATGCTTTAGTGTTTTTTGGTGGAGTCTTTTTTTTTTTTTTTTTTTCTGTGGACTTCTCGTTTTGGTGATCCTTTTGTACTTTTATCGTTTTTTTCTTAGGTTAGGAAGTTAAGATCTCCGCCTGTAAGTTTTTTGCAGCTCAAATCATTTTTATTCTTTCTTTTTCCAGTTTGGTTCCTCCTCAGTCGGTTTGGTCGCCGAGAAAGTGTAGAGAATTAGTTTTACATTTTTTTTATACATCTCGTTTTCGGGAAAAATCAAGTCAGCACCAAAACAGTTGTATGGGATTTTTTTTTGATGAGTAGTATTATTTTATTGACTTTCTTGGACTTGTTTTCTTCCGAAACTTAATGCTTACATTTCTTTTAAGCTTTTGCGTTTCCGTTTCTCTCTGCTAGTTAAGATCCATCTTGTAGGGGTTTTTTTAAGTATCCAAATCTGCTTCAATCTGTGAGCTGATTTTTATTTTCCATGAATAGAAGCTTTTTTTTTTATAAGATTTTCTGAATTATTCTACCTGAACAGTTTCCTTCTATTTAATATATCTGAAATTACTTATAAGCATACATTCTGTATATAGAAGTTGGTTTTCTAGACAATTTGTTGAGATTGGGTGAAGGGGATTGAGTTTTTTCTTCTTTGCTTATTAAAAGATCGTTATTTTAGTTGCTTTCCTTTCACTTGTTGGTGCTTTGAGAAGTAGATTTCCTTCCGTTGACTCTTGAAAGCAAGAAAATCATCAGGAAGTATCCTTGTGAAATTTAAGCTATAGAATTACTTGACGGCAATGTTACTGCTGAGTTTGGATTTGGAAGGGGACGATGGATTGGATTTGGGTGATTTTAGATTAGTTATGGTGTTTTCCTTTTAAACAACAATTTCCTCTGAATGAAACAGCATATTTAATTCAGGTTATTTTTCTTATTATTTGAATTGTTAAGGAGGTTATTTTGAGAATTCTGGAATCTGATGTCTCCGCCACTGCTGGGTGTGGAAGAAGGGCAGAGCAATGTCTCTTTGGTGGCCTCTTCACCCTCTGTTGACTGTATTTCCCAGAACAGATCTGGGTTAAAAGAACGGAACTATCTGGGGTTGTCAGATTGTTCTTCAGTTGACAGCTCAGCTGTCTCCAGCCTTCCAGAGGATAACAAGAACAATCTGAATTTGAAGGCCACAGAACTGCGGCTTGGTCTCCCTGGATCACAATCACCTGAGAGAGAACCAGATCTATGCTTGCTGGGCTCAGGGAAAGTTGATGAGAAGCCACTGTTTCCACTGCTTCCTTTGAAGGATGGTGTGTGCTCATCATCCCATAAGAGTGTTGTTTCTGGCAACAAAAGAGGATTCTCTGACACCATGGATGAGTTCTCTGAGGTGAAAGGATCTGCATATACTGAGAAGAATTGGATGTTTCATGCTACTGGATCTGATTCTGAATCTCCACAATCTGTGGGGCAAGGAAAGTATCCTAATAATTCAGCAATCAATGTCATGCTATCATCCCGCAACTCTGGGACTCAACCAGCCATTAAAAAAGATGTGCCCCAGAATATGCTTCAGGAACGACCACGAATTCCAAATGGAAGCAACCTTAACCAAACTGGTGCTTCGAACAATAGTAGCAGTGCCCCTGCTGCCAAGTAAGTACAAATTAGTGCGAGTATGACTCAAGGATTTGTTGATATGGATTATGTACAAGACTTTCTAATCTTATAGTTGCTGTGTTTACCATATGGCAATCATTGCAGAGCGCAGGTTGTTGGTTGGCCACCCATTAGATCATTTAGAAAGAACACATTGGCCACCACCTTGAAAAACAATGATGAAGTTGATGGAAAACCTGGTCCTGGTGCTCTTTTTGTGAAAGTTAGCATGGATGGTGCTCCTTATCTGAGAAAGGTAGACTTGAGAACTTACTCCACCTATAGAGAGTTGTCTTCAGCCCTTGAAAAGATGTTTAGCTGTTTTACTCTTGGTAAGTTATTGCTTCGCCTTGATGCTGTGATAATGTCAACGTAAATTTGATACACAAAATTGTAATAATTTGGCGTGCAGTTAATGTAAATTTTCTTTATGAGCATGACATGCTTGCTAAGGAGTTAATCTGATCTCAGGTCAATGTGGTTCTCACGTAGCTCCTGGAAGGGATATGTTGAGTGAGAGTAAGTTGAAGGATCTTCTCCACGGATCAGAATATGTGCTTACCTATGAGGATAAAGATGGTGACTGGATGCTCGTTGGAGATGTTCCTTGGCAGTAAGTGTCAATCAACAGAAACTTGCTTCTGTTTGCCTTAAATATTTGAATTTGATATGTTAATTGTTTTGATTGGATAGTTGTTAAAAGAAAAATTCTTTAGATTGAACACATCAGCTCATTCCATCTGCATGCATAAATTTTATTGAATTTTCTTCTCTAATAAATTCCAGCAACATAATGTTATTTGAAATGTCAATATATAGTCATTTTCTTATTATGCAAGAATTATGCCAGAAAGTCATTAACTTGCTTGAAAAATGCTTTTTCATTACATGTTATGTACTTAATCATGCTGATTTTATATGGTTATATCTTCTTGGAGAACTATGCTTTAGTTCTTTGCTTTTTCCTGTTGACAATTAAATTTGTGACTGAAGTCTGTAACAGTATTATTCATAATTCCATTTTCTAATTCTCATTTGGGGAATATTATGAGTTGTTTAGTGTGAGGTTTTGTGAATATTG